CAGATCGGTTAAATATTGTGTGCCATGGGGACTTTGGTGGTTGGTTGTGTGGGCCATGAGTTCCAAAAGGTTGGGAACCCCTGCCTTTATGGGTGGGGTTTACCATGAGGGACCATTCTCAGTATAGCAGTGACACCAACACAGCAGTGGCATGTAGCGAGTGTTGCACTGGTACAGCAGTGTTGCTGAGGTTTTTAAATACTGTGTACAGTATTTTACTATCTATCCATTCTTGATGAATGCACCACAAATTTCTGGTGCTAGCATTATTTTCTAAGGACAGCAAAAGCTTTAATTACTCTCATTACAGATTCCCATTGGAAGTTTTGACAGCTTAAAAGCTGTGTGTGAACACTCTTTGAGTCCTGTAGTTGAAAGATTTTGAAAATATGCCAAGACGAGGCATGAAAAGTTAAAGAAGAATCCATGGCTGCACCGCAGCAAGTATCTCTGGTGGTATTTGTTTAATACATCACACCATTGAAGGCCATTAATTACTGATTAGTCCCCGGTCTGCATTGCAGGCGTGGAGAGGTACATTAATATTGCATCTGTAGAGTTACACTCTCCAGATCGCTGTGGAAGACAAAGCAACACTTTCTTACACTCAACAGCGTCTGAGGCAGGAACATACATTGGTCACAGACAAGTAACATTCCTCGCTTGGATAAAGTGCGAACGCTAGCATGTCTGGAGAAACATAGTGCTTTCATTTTCAACATCCATCGGGCCGTTTTGTGACTTCAAATGAAGACAACTGAATTACAGTGCAGGCCACAGATGGAGTAAATGTGTTTAGATTGGCGTTTCTCTGAAATGTGGTTCTCTTTGGTCCTGAGTGGAATCACTCTTGGGACGCAACAGTAAATATGAAATCCGTCAGAAGAATGTTTTCTAAGCTCATTGTTTTAACTCAAGGGGAAAGAGTGCTCTGAACTTCTCCTTAATGAAGACAATCATTTATATGCATATTTATGCAAGATTGTGCTTGTTGATGTATATTTTAGATTTACAATATTTATATTTTACATATAACACACACATATATATATATATATATATGCACAAGAGAGCCCAGAGGAGGCACTTAATAGTTTATCTGATTAGATACTTAAAACAAGCATGTAATTAGCATGCTAATGTTTTGCTAAAGAAGAGCCTCCTAGTTGTGATCTTGATGCACAAAAACAGTTTTATGGAAAAAAGGAAACGGTATCTGTAGTAGTTGGAGATGTACTCGTTCATCTGTTATACTGGTGTAACAAAAAAATCATTGACGCCGCTAAAAGTTGACAAATTAAGCTCAAACTTGCAAGCGCACTGTACATAAGACTAACCTTGCATAAAAAGTTGATGCTCGTCTGTAGAGCAGTATGCCCAAACATACTGTGTCTAGTTAGACTGAATAGCAAGACGTGACCATTTGGAAAGAATTTAGTTAGTGGGCATGGAACAAAAGACTTCTGGAATAATTATTTTGGATACTGTTTACATTGTGAATAAGAATAATTTATTAGTTTCACTTTCTAGTTGGTCATCTATCTAAATAAGGGACCAACAGGGCTGTACACTTTCTTTTGCTAAGTGAATTAAGTAGTTATGTTTTTATTTAAAAGTTAGTAAGACACTACACTGAGTGAGTTGCCAGTATATTAGATACTGTCTATCTTGTACTTACAATTATTGGCCGTTTTATTTAGTACACCTACTTGCCGCTGACTAAAATACCTAGTAGGTTGTTAGGCGAAACGCTGAGACATAACTATAGTAATGTGCAACAAACTTTTGTACAGTGTCAACTTTTCCTACTAGTTTGACTTTTAACATTTACAGTTCTACATGTGAAAAGCTGACTCAGCCAGAATCTTGCATCAACATTTGACAGTGTCAATTATTCATTACACTGATAGCAATTTTCCTTAAGGCATGAGTTTCATCAATACTACGCCACAATTAAGTGCACATAACGCAACTTACATACAGTACAAAACTAAGTTTCTCACTATTTGTGTAGAGTTGCAGTCTGAGGGAAGTTAGTCCAGTGTGTTGTTGAAGGAGCAGACATCAGAATGCAATGAGTTAAAGAGGGAACAGAGGGTAGAAGGAATACCTGGTTTTTATGGGGTCAGCTGTTAGCCTTTGGCCTAGTATGGAAACCAAGCTCAGCCAGATGCTTCAGATGGTGCAGTCTCGGTCCTCACCGCAGCTTCTCAGCTAAAACTGATAGCATGAATGATTATAATATTTACCAAATTCCAGCAGTGTCTGGCAGTCACAGCCGAAGGCTTGCAAGTAAGAAATGCATGTACAAAACAAATGACCTGAGAAGCCCCCAGAATATTGTTTAGTTATGTCTTTACTATTTTGCATAATTAAAATGTTTTAGATCTTCAGTCATTAAATATTAACAACTCCCTATTGAAAGTGAAATGATGTAGAAAAAAAGGTTTAGTCAAAGCTGCGCTATGTAAGATTTTTGGTCACAGTTTATTTTGATGGTCCCCTGTAAATGATCTATAGGTGCTTAAATTATTTAATTCGACAGCTGATTAGCAACACAATTGTAGTGAGAGTTAGGTTCAGGAGTAGGTGTAGGTTTTGGGATGAAGTGAAGGATAGGGTGCAGTTTAGGGTCAGATTTAATAGAATCTGCCACACTCAACTTTAAGTTCTGTTGCATTTAATGGACATTTAGCTGAATGTGCATTTAAGCATCTACAGAGGACAGTCACAATAAAGTGTTACCGTTTATTTTTTTGTTAAAAGTGAAAGTAGTAGTATTACTGAGTCATGAAAAAAAAATATGCTTAAAGATGGTGGGCTCCTGCTGGTCAACCTGCAAAGCCCGAAATAGTAATTTAAAAGTCAGAGGCGTGGGGTCGGATTTTGTGGGAGTTTTTCGGACTCAGATGTCTTTACAAACTAATGTCACAAGCAAAGAATGTCCAGCTTGATGTTTAGGTCACAAATGCAACATCACCACTATAGTGATGAAGATTTGATGACAGTAGTAGATAATTCACTCACATCCTCGGGCGACATGTCTTTCACAGAGTTTTGATTCCATTTGAATACTCTTTCAATGCGCTCACAATCATCAGATTCATCCGATCAGGGAAGGGGTCCAAAGCACAGCCCACATTATGAAATGTTCTTCCGCATGTTGTGTACACATTTCCACGAGAAAGGTCTCCAAATCACCAAAACTTCATGCCTGAAGCATCCAAAATGGTTTTATTTCAGGAGAATAATACCTAAATACACTATACTGTGATTATACCCCACAACCCTCAGAAATCATAATTATAATTGCTGGGCATACTGTCTGTGTGTGTGTGTCACAGCTGGGCCCTGCTCACAGAGCGATCTGCAATACAGGTGTGCAGTGGAGATTTTTGTGCTAAGTCCCACTCAGCTGGGCTCAAAGGTCTTTTATGGAGTCGATGAGCCCTGGAGCACCTGTGAGCACTAGAGATAGCATGTCCATGTGGACTCTCGGGTAGATAGCTGCAGGGTGACCGCTGCTGATCCGGTTAGCACTGAGGATAGTGGAGGTTTGACAGCCAAAAGGGGACTTCTGACCCAGTTCATACCAATGGCACTGGCTAGACAGTAGCACCAATCTGATATGAAAATTATCATACATATCGATTTTAAGAAGCTAAGAAATTTGATAGCTGAAAATTATGGATGATATAGTTTCATGCAGTTTAAAACTCTCTACTTTCATTCAAATTTTTTTAATGTATTGGTGATTTTTAGATGCAAAGAACCTCTTGAAACTGGCTTGTAACTCATTCACTCATGTTTAGCAGGCCAAAACTTTTGCCATTAGTAATCAAATAGCTTTAGATGCTTCACAAGAGTAGTGCTGTGCATCAGTGATGCTTAGTTCTTGTTACACTACTGTTCAAAACATCAACACTTTTGTTATTGCATGTACAATAATAACTTATATGTTTTAATTATTATTCACCAAAATGTATTTTTTTATGTTAATTTCAAGAATTATGTGTACAAGAAGTTATAAAATTATATATAACAATTGTATGCAAACGTTTAAGCCTCCCTGGTCAAATTCAAAGAAGTACACATCAGAACTTCTGCACATTTTAATGCACAACGCTTTATGTATGTTTTATTTTTTCTAATATGTCAAACTCAAGCAAATGAATAGAAATTGTGCTATAAAAATTGGCAGAAAAATGCCATATTTAAGTTCAACTTAATGTCACTTAAATCAGCAAAACATCATTTGACCAGGGGTGTTCGAACTTTTGCTTACGGCTGTACTGTAATTATCTGGTTATACAGACTTCTTGCTCTGCATTGCAAGTTGATCACTTAACATATGATATAATAAAATTAACATCCAGAATTCATTTTCAGTGTTGAACAGCTTTCTCGGTTATTTTAAAACCTACTAATTATTTGAAAGCTGTGAGGTTGCGCAGGACTACCATTCTGTAATAATTTTAAACATTTATCTGCAACTAAATGGCTGAAAACACTGATTCTAAACCTTTGAATCAAACTAGCACAAGTTAGCACAGTCAAAAATGCACTGAGATTTGGCCATCTGTGTGCATTTTTAAAATCTGACAGCACGCCAAGGGCTGCATTTAACCTTAAAATATATTATCAGTGTATGCATCTTTTGTAGGAATTATAGAGGCTGTAGCTGACTTTTTCCATTGACCTCTTGGAAATCACGTTCACGCTGCCGTGCTAAACAGCAGCACTAATGAAGAATAATGATGCACACCTCTTGATGTCTTTAATCTAACTTAGTGACAAGGAAGAAAGATGAAGGAAGATGCACAGAGGGATGGAGAGAGAGAGAGAGAGAGAGAGAGAGAGAGAGAGAGAGAGAGAGAGATTAAAGCACAGAGAACAGGCTAGAGTGAGAATACAGAGTGGTGTGAGTCCAGATGCTCATGGAGAATGGTGTGTGTGTGTGTGTGTGTGTGTGTGTGTGTGTGTGATGTGCTGATTTGCAGCGAGCGCCCCCGCCTCACCCAGAGAGATGATCAGCCTCAAGGAGAGGAAGACAGACTATGAGTCCACTGGAACCAATGCTAGTTTCCATGGAAACAAAGGCGAGCACACATCCAGGAAAGACGCCATGGCAGGTAGGGCTGCTCAGGGAAGGAGGTGGGAGGAGGAAAAAGAGGGGAGGATGGGGGAGACTGAGCATCAGCCACAGCCCTGAGGACCTGACTCCTCTAACCTAATAATTCTTTTACCTCATTAGACCAAGGCTTTGCTTTTTGGTCGCAGCATGAGCACTGAAAAAAAGTGATGCACTGAATTCACTTGATTCAAACGCGTGCAGTCTGTTCACATGAATAAAACACATCTTCCATTTGTCTTTCAGTTTACTTACAGTTGGCAGTAACTGTGTTGCTGTAATTATTCACGTGGAAATGATGCACTTTTGGATTACGAAAGTTCACTGCAACACTCCTCATCTACAACATGAGAACTGATAATCAGTGGGGAATCTCTGACTGTAAGAGCAAAGCCATCAGTTTGGGTTATAAATGTCAAAAAACCCACATCTACAGTATTTCTAATTTCTATTAGCACCTTACGGTATTTCAAATAGCATGTTAGAGCTAAGCTGGGGAAACAGACTAGATTAAACCTAGACATTTCAAGCTTGCAAAATTCCATGTTTTATCTGAAGTGTGTAACAGAGATTAGTCTATATTTTACTTTGTATGTTGCAGTTTCCAGAACTCCTAGTAGTAAAGGAACAAATTCCCCGAAAGGCCTTAGCTTTTTACCCCCACCCGAGATAGAACAAAGCACAAGTACGTTTTTATATAGCTTTGATAACTCCAGTTTGTGAAATGGGTGGTTGTATAAAAATATTTTACTGCAAAATTTGTGTAATTAATTCATATTTAGGACGCTCCCCAAAACCAGAAAATGTGCAAATTCAGGCCTGGCTTAAAGGGAGAGTGTCTGCATTTCCCTTATATTTCAGAAAATAAAACTTATTTTCTGAAATATAAGGGAAATGTAAATTATGTAAAAAAAAATACTTCAAAACTTGAAAAAAATACTTCAAATTTTGCTTTGAAGTTGGTTTGAAGTTTCATTTGAAGGATGTTGCCAGCTTTACATAGTTTACATTTCCCTTATATTTCAGAAAATAAAATACAGAACGTAGTCAACTTTAGACTGACTGTGCACAAACACATACTCTGTGTCCTAAAGAAAAGATAACGCCAATATCTTTGTCCATGGGCTAAATATAGGGCCTTAAACATATTACTGCCATAGATGGAAACCAACTTAAAAATATCATCGTTAATATAATAATGATTTTGTACTAGACACCGTTTTCTGATCATTAAAGCTTTTTGGATTATACACTTCATACATTAACAGGTCTTAATTCCTTCTAAGAACCAGCCTGCACTGTCCTTGAAACAACTGTAATTTAAAAATAATAATAATAATAAAAAAAATCTTAATTAAATGTTCTAAATTAAGTTCTTAAAATGATAATTTAATATATTTTGTGATAATAAAAAATTATAATGAAATACAAAAATACAAAATGTGACAGGCCAACAAGAAAATCAGTTTACATTTCAGCATCAAACATTGGCATAAAGTTGCTTTTTATAGTTCTTATGTATCTATCATTTAATTTGTAAACGTGTTAAGCTATTCAACATTATTTTTGTTCATTTTTTGAACAATAAAGTCTAAAAAACAATCATGTCAGTGTCACTGCTGTGCTGAGAATCATCCACCACCTAAATAATGTCTGGTCATCCATGGTTCTACGGCCCATGGATGTTTTGGAGTGGAGTGCCTGACGAAAGTACTACGTAATCTAACAAGCAAGGCTTTTAGTTCAGCTTCTGAAAATCTAACCAATGACAAAGTTCACTTGGTATCTACCACCACTGGAAAAAATATCCTGATTGGATTTGGATTGATTTTCCACTGGGCACTTAAATATTTTAACCCTTTTGTTTTCAAGCAAAAAATGTATTACTATGATACTAGTTAAATACAACAAGCATTATAATTCTGTTAAATAAAAAAGACCTTCTATGAAGGCCTAGAAAGGATCCCCACTGCTGTTAACCAATTTGTACCATTTTTCCCCCTTTGATTTTATGCACGTTTCTACCAGTGAACAATTTAAACCCATAGAAATCGTGTTATGAACTTTATTTTCTATGCTATTTTCTAGGCCAAATGTAATTATATTGTATTTACATAATCATTACATAGGTAAGCTGGCAGTGTACCTCAAATAATGAAAGAACTAAAATGAAATCAATCTATTGCCAAACATGCAGTCATAGTTGTACTTTAAGACAGACGACATAGCGATTAAAAGTTTTGTTTAGCAGCCAGCGCACACTGCACCAAGGAAGCTCAATCTGTGTTGTTTTGACTAGAAAGATAAAATTTTGCTTTGAAGTTGGTTTGAAGTTTCCTTTGAAGGATGTTGCCGGCTTTACATAGTTTAGTGTAGTAAATTACACTCACATTTGATGTACAATCTAGCCAAAATATAGTTAATGGATAGTTTTATTTGTGTAACAAGATTGTATACACAACAATAACTTCAAACTCGAATCACAGTAAAATGTTTTCTTCTCTGAACACAAATGTGGGATGGATGGAAAGTTAACAATTTACAGAATTTCTCTGCTTGTTTCAAGCTACAATTGATAAATAAGTAAATTATATAAATTTTAAGGTTGGTGATTAACACTTTTAAAGGTGAGACAGGTACCACGTTTATTTTCCCAGAGTCTATCATCTTTTATGTGTGAATCTGTAGCTGCACTGCTGGGTTTTAATAAAAAGGAAAAGAGGGGCTTAACTGTAGCAGCATCACCTTCCACTGGGCTTAAACGGTTTAAGATCGTAGTGTGTACGATGTCATCATTTCCTACATGTTTGATCTGTGGTACAATAGCTGCTGGCTCTATAGATGTTAGCTTGAAGTGCACAGCAGGTATTTTCAGTGATCTAGTTGTCCCTTTGAACTCTTCTACATAGTGTTAAACTCAGTGTGATGCTAATTATGTTCCAGCCACCCTGAACATGCTCTACACTGTCAAATAATCAGAAGGTTTTTTTTTCTCTCATCAACCTCCTCTGTGCAACTCCAACAGGTTTTTATTTCATTCCTGCATGAGTCAAAGCTAGGAAATGCCTCTTTTTTTGTAGTTTTGTTGTTTCCTTTGCCAAAAAAGTCCACCCACTCTCTACCTACCCCCCCCAAATCTTCCCACAGTGCAAGTCTCCTGTGGAACCTCCACTCTGTTCCGCAACTCGTATGTGACTCCAAATGAAGAGATCAAACACAACCAGGTAAAAATGACAGCAGCTGAACAGTCATCTACAGTGTTAAATGTAACAATCAGACGCATGTTTATAGAGAATGTACTTGAAATGTTAAGAAAAGTACAGCAATTGATGTTGACTGATAATCAGCAAATAACAGTGCTTTATTATTTAGTTTAGCATATCATTGTTGTTTTGAGTGATTACTGTGGTAGGGCATCTGCAATTCAGCCACTGAAAGTTTTTGGCCAAAAAAAAATTTGTTTTTGGGGGAAAATTGCACAAAACTATGACGGAGATCACTTACACTGTTTCCATCCTATGAAAAGGAATGACTCATTATTATGTATACATACAGTCACATGCAAAATGTAAAACACCACTGGTCAAATTACATGTTTTGTTAATTTTTTAAGTGAAAACAAGTTAACACATCCTCTACAGAGAACAAATATCTGCACATTTTAACTTAACATATTGGAAATAAAATTAAAATAAGTTGTGTGCAAGTTATGGCACATTTTACATTTTGTTTTTTCCAATATGTTAAACTCAAACAAATAAATAGAAATTAGAAACAGAATTTTAGTTCTCACTCAAAAGCATAATAAGGCAAAAAAAGCCACTTTCAGGCTAGTGCTAGGGGTGGGGCAAAATATCGATACTGCCACACAGACACAAAGTATATTTTATTATATAAATACAAATGAATTTTTTGGTACTAGAATAATAGAATCAATCACTTTTTCAGTCTATTAGATAGTAAAAGACTATCTAAAGAAAAGAAAATTAAATACTCTGGGAATACTACAAACACGGGGGTTCACCTCACACGGCACCATCCAGAGACAGCAATGACGGCGAACAAGGCTCAACTTGTTCGAGTTTTCCCGTTCCACCTTATAAGGTGCAGCAGTTACATTCTGGTGTCTCAGGTGCCAAGTATGTGGCTACGTTTCTTTGCCTACACAGCCGTACTCGAGCCAGAGAAGTGAAGCTTAAACTTGAGGAATTCTTGAGTACAGCAGAAAGGACTGTATTAACATGTGATGCGTGGAGGGCAGTGGATTTCTGGGTGACTAACAGAGCATTATCTCACAGAGGGCTGGTGATTGCTATCTCACATTCTCCAAACTAGAGCAGTACACAAAAGTTACACCAGGGCAAATATTGCTTCCTACACAATGTAGCACAAGACAGGGAGATGGCAGACAAAAAGCTGGTGGTTGTGTCTGCAGTTGAAAAAAAGGTAATAAATTGCAATGCGTTTAAAAAATATTGTACAGTGGTGCCTGTCTGGCGATTCCCATCCTTAGTGCCTGCTTAATCCTGATTTTAGTTTCAGACAAGAATGACAACAATGTCTTTTTTGAGGTCACAAAACAATAATGGAGTACAGTCGACACAACATATCTGTACTTCAGCTGATTCCTAAAGACAAGTGCAAAATATCTGTGTATATTACTGCTGCTGAGCTATTTCAGCCAAACAGTGTTGAATACAGGACTGCATATTGGCAGCAACTTTACGATATGATACAATGGTATGATCTCAGTACAAACTTGACAAAACAGTATGATGACAGTACATCAAATGTATGATAGACATTAATAATTAATAAATGAAGTTTGGGAAAACTCTAACCTTGTTCATGTTATCCCTGAAGTTAGTTTAAAAATACAGTAATAATAAATACAAAAATAATATTGGGAGAACTTCTAAGAATAAAGGCAGGAAAGAGGAGGCAAGAATACAGTCTCGAAGAGTCTGAGGCAGGGAGTGTCACATTAATATAGGTATCAAAGATGAGCGAGGAAGCAAACACTATTCTAAGTAGGGGTGGGGGGTGGAAATCGATTCCTAGATGCATCACAGTGCAGACATGGACGATTCTGAATCGATTCACAAATGTCAAAAATGTATTTTCTAAATATTTCATTTATAACGTAATGTTGACGAAACGCAAAAGGCAGAACTTGGAAGTGCAGCACCCGGACAGTCTGTGGCGGCACATAACAAAGACACAACTGGATGAGCGAGAAATCCGACCGGCTCCCTCTGCATTAAAAGCTAGGTTAGGTCAGGAGTCACAACACAAATGATAAGAAGAGACATTTTGTTGTTTCAACAAAAATCAAACCACCTTTGGGAGCCACAACATTTAATGTCCACTATGTCTCAGTATGTGCTGATGTCCTAGTATAGGCTAAAAAATATAAACAACAACGCAGATTTACTTTCGCTCTGCTTTAAGCTTTAGCTATACATTAGCCGCTTTCCTCCCATCTCCGCCAGGAAACTTTTCCTCAAAAGTGGAATAGTTTCTTGTAAAATGTCTCTCAAGGTTCGACTGTTTTACAAGGATGAATTCAGCTTCTCATTCTCCAGCTTCTTGTTTCGAATTTTCCCGTTCCACCTTAAATTCTGCCTGAGGCGCCAGAATGTAAATGCAGCACCATTTAAAGTGGAACGGGAAAATTAGTAAGAGAAACTGACGTCATCTTCACAACTTTTTAGTGTTTGACAGTCTCTCATTGCAGGTTTAACGTACCAGGAAACCAACTGCAGTGCTAGTAAATGCAAATAAGTCCATCTCCAAATGTCGTCTTAAACGCGTCTCTGTTCTGTTTCATTAGCTAACGTTACTAGCTAGGCGAGACTGCGTTGCTATGTGACCTGCAGTCTGCACGCCAGCCTTCAGGGTTATAGGGTGGTGAATTAGCAGCGTTTAAGACCATCTATTGTTAAAACAGTGTTAGAACGATCAGCAGAGCTTTATTTTACTGCAAAGGAGGATAACTGCAGTAAAATAAAGCTGTTTATTATAAAGGACCTGGATAAGAACCACACTGTATGCAATTTGTGTCACGCTAAACTAAAATATTTTGGAAACAATATGAGAAACCACATTACATGTTTACACCCGTTTCCATCCGGGTGTACTCACTGCCAACCAGAGGATCATCGAGCAAGCGATGTCAAATCTTCCACCCAACTCGAAGCGAATTACAAACTCTATCGCAACTTTTATTGCCAAGGATTTGCGTCCGTACTCAGCCGTTGAGAACCTGGGCTTTCACGCTATGTTGATGAGATACAGCGTCTCGTCTCAAAGATATTTTACTGACACAGCGGCCACCCCCCCCACACACACTCTCTCCAACAAGACCAAAACCAAAGTTATAGAATCACTGAAGAAAACAGGTAGGACAGCTGTAACGTGCTGCATGGACACACATTGCCACAGAATCTTATTTCACCGTAACAGCGCATTTTATCACAGATGAGTGATGTGCTCATGTGCTCCAAACAAGAGCAGTGAATGAGAGCCTTCTAGCTCACTTGCCACATCACTTCCATTTGTTTTTATTAATACAAGATATTAAAATAATATCCTAAAAGTCCTCACACAGTGAGAAAAAAAAGAAGTCCTGTATAGAAAAAAAGATGCATCGAAATGCATCAATAATCGTTTTATAATCGCATCGCAGCTCTCGTATCGAATCGTAATCGAATCGAATCGTGAGATGCCTACAGATTCCCACCCCTAACTCTAAGATTTCAAACAAACAGTAAAGAGATATGGGAACTACTAAAAGAATTATGGGGAGTTAGTTGAAAATGAGGTGCTGGCCAGAATGCAGGGATGAGACAGACAAAAGAACTTTCTTCATTTGTCAACACAGGCAGCAGAACAGGCAGTATACGGGCATCTAGTATATGAGAGAGCCACAGATCAGATACATCACAGTAACATCATCCACTTACCATGTAACAGCTCTATGAACACATGACCAGTGTAAACAGCTAATCGTGACAGGCTACAAATTAATAACTAGGGTCTATGTGTCTACAGACGTGTACTAAACCAGACCAGTGAAAGTGAGACTAACTTGAGTACAACTAACAAGGACCGTAAGTGCTCGGAAAGGATATTCACTTCATTCTCTCACAAACACACACACAGCAGCACACATTAATGCATTCATCATGTAAGCCGCTTATCCTCCTGGGTCACGGCAGCCTGTCCCAGGAGCCTATCCTTATTGGGTGGAAGGCAGGAAACACCCTGGACAGGCCACCAGTCTATCATAGGGCAGACACACAAACATACACATTCACACACACACACACACACACACACACACACACACACACACACACACACCCCCTAGGGGCAATTTAGTATTGCCAGTTGGCCTGACTGCATGTTTTTGGACTGTGGGAGGAAACTGAAGCACGCGGAGAAAACCCATGCAGACAACAGGAAAAAACTCCTAATGATTACAGCACACTTCCACGTACTGGATGTTAGAAATATCACAGTGTAACTTTCACTCCCACATATACTTCCCCTGTTGTAAAAGTGTTGTAAAATTCATAAAAATCAACACAACAATCATGTATCAATATGTGTGCCGCAAATTACCACTTTACCAAAATTGCTATCCCAATTTCAGTGATTTATCTAGTTAGTCCAAAATATCAAACTCAAGCATGCTAATATGTCCTGGTTCAGTGGTGATGTTTTCACATCCAACCAATTGTGTCTCATATTGAGGCACCCTGTGATTCTAACTGGCTAACTGTCTTCGTGGTTCTCTGCTTGTTTTCATGAACAGGCAGCCCAAGGTCTCGTATCATATGGCTTCATGCCTCGCGATCTTGTGAATATTTAATCTCACACCCACACAGTCCCCACACAATGTGAAAGTGGTGGAATAAGACGCAAAACAATCGCCAAGGTCCCGTTTCCTTAAAGTTAATGAAGCTGGCACAGCGTAGCCAACTGTTGCAAATGAACATAATTAATGCATGTTGTTGGGAAGAGAGACAGCTGTCCATCTTGCTGCGTATTAACTTGCTGTCAAAAACAAGGCTGCAAACTGATTATCCTTGCTAAAGCCAGTCAGATGTTGTTGTTAAGTCTGCAGGCTGTGAACTGGTGATAATGAACATCAGCCACATGCTTTTAGATGCCTCTTACAGTGGCTTTTATTCAGTTCTAGGGGCAAACTCTTAAAAATTAGGGTTCCACAAAAAAGAAGAAGAATCACAGAAGAATCACTTTGTTACCTAAAGAACCTTTCAATGGATGGTCCTTCAAAGAATATTTTTGTAAATGAGAGGTACCATGTAAAGAACATTTTTGAAGTTTAAAAAACCTCTAGATAATGTAAAGGATTAGGATTGGAGACAAAGCAGGCATATTTTAACGGATGGGGTATTGGTTGTATTAAATCCGATCCAGTTCTGATCCTTAGTTTTACTTATGCTCCTTACGCACTGTAGAGATGTAAAGGAGCATTATTCACTACGTGCAGCAATGAGACACATTTTCTGATAACAGATATAAATGTCTGCAGTGTCAAGCTATTTTACCATGGAATATGAAAACTTGTAATAACTGCAGAGATGTTTCCACTGTATTTGAGCAACATTTTGTCTAAACACCAGCATGAAAAATGTGAGCAAGTGGGCTTTTGCACTTTGAGCCTACTTTCTATCAGCATGCCACAAGAAGCATGTACAGCTACACTAACCCTGCGCTCACACCAGCAGCGACACAACAGGACAAGGTGCCCGAGGTAATTTTTTTCAATGAGAGCTGGCAATTTCCGGCGACAGAAGGCAGCACGAACATTAGCGACGTGAAGCGGGCGGAGTCAGCGACTCAACAAAGTTGAGCGGAGTTCAACTTTATGCAAATAAGGAGTGAAGTGACGTGGCAATTACCCATAGGAATTGAGCAGTCAGCAGTGTAGTACACGCTTTATCTCCACCACTGTGAAACAGTTCACTCCGTATTTAGTTCCTAGATAATTGTTCCTACTAGAGAAGGAATAATGGTGGCGGTGCTTTCACCACAAATAGACTGTAATTGCAAAGACCAAACAGTACTGACTGCACAGACACAAAGACTAAATAAAAAGAAGCACACAACCGATTTCTCACCAGGATTTTTTATTTAAGCAGGGAACGCATCTGATTTGTGTTTAGCGTCAGTGAAACCATGGCAATTAACAGGCAGTTGGAGTTCAGAAACGCCCACAGCGAGATGAGCGATCAGCGATTTGGGCATCAAGAGACGAAAAGTCGCTGCCAGTGTGAACATGGGGTAACTCCACGTATTTCGCTCACAACTAACTATCGCGGAACAATTCTGCTATACCGGCTGTGCTGCTTCATTGTTTCTGCTAACATTGGTTCATGCTGGTGTTCAAACCCAAAAGGAAGGAGCACAAAAATTGATAAAATTATTGTGCTGTTGCCAGTGGCTACACGCATCCAGTGTAACTCCTCTGGCATCAGATTTAAGCAAGCAGCTTTGCTGATTTTTTTTGTGGGTCCAGCATCGGGCCCAATGGGTCAATGTGGTTGAAGTAACTGGTAGCCAAGTCATCTGGGAGATCAATCAAATATGATCATAAGCCAGTATTAAACATGCCATGAAATGGTCATTAAAAACACAACAAAAACAGCAGTATCAGGGCAGATCTCAGGGCACAAAAATGAATCAAGACATCCCTAGTAAAGGTGTTCTTTATCAATTAATTTCTTTTCTAGAACCATATATCCAAGCCAAGGACCATTTAGGAACCTTCATTTTTAATAGTGTAGAATATCTGTTGCTGCTCTGTGAAGACCGCTTTGCTCTTTAGCTTTATTTTGCGTAGTACTGAATTTATCACATTTCTCTGGCCCTGTTCATGAGGCTGTATGTTAGTATATATGACAGGGATGGCTACCCAGACTGGCAGCTGCAGCCACTCGGGCCTCTGATAAGCCTGGCTTTCGCACGCATGCCTGGCTTTCGCATGTCTGCTTCTCTTCCCACAGAGGATGACGCTCTACATCTTTTCCAATTAGTCACATCTAATTTTTTTTATTCCAATACACTTCCTTATTCAAAATTCATGAGATTTCATCAAGAAAGTTCAAGGCACCAAAGCTAACAGTCTTCTAAGGCCAGCACATTCTGAGAGCAGCAGAAGGAACGGAGGATAAGATATAGATTGATAACACACTGGTTATCTATGTACATCAGTGAGGAAGACTGACATGAATGAATGGTATGAGAATATGCAGTAGCCATTAGCTGGGGATTCGTTAAAAGAGTCAATATCATGGAAAAGTACACTTTCCTTGCTTTTTTTAAATAAACGCATTTAATGTACTTTGTAACCTCGTGTTGCAGCAAAGTGAAAATTCTTGGCCGAAATTAATACCAATGTTCAGGACAGTCGATTGAAAAATGAAAGTGGAAAGTGAAAAAAGCGGACAATAAATAAAAACAGTACACATAGAATAAACTTACTAAACTTATTACAGTATGTGGATCACAGTATGGGCCATGAAATCCAACATTAACAACAGAAAACAGTCATCCAAGGCATTTAATTCCTAATTTCTTAGTTATACTTTGCACTGTTGTTGTTCTCACAGGGACTTTCCCTTCTGCTTCTTTTGTTTCGCTGTATTCTGCATATGGAGTAAGATATTGTGTTTTCAAATTGTATCAAACCTATAGTGGATATGTTTTTGGGCATTGTACCTTCTCTTGATGCTTCGCATGAACAGTGAGAATAGATGACTTGTTCAATGCCTCTCATATAAACCCTAAAATAGTCCTGCCATTTTTCACTGTTCATCTGCTGCTGCTCAAACTGTTTGAATGCATCTGCGCTGACTTCATTGTAGGCTTATTTATTTATTTATTTTATTTAATCAAAACATTTTTTAGCCTTTTGGCCAAAAACTGAAAGTGACTTTTTATTTTTACCATTTTCAGCTGAAAATCTGGTGCCCTGCTCTACATAGTCATTTACAATACTTTAGCTCACCATGGTCAAGTTACATATTTAGTTGTTGTTTTAATGCACCATTACTGTTTATTTGCTGAATTTAACATGTTGAAAAAAATTCAGCAAAATGCGGCATGTGCAAGTTATGGCACATTATGTAATTTATGTTTTATTATTTTCCAATATATTAAATTCAGCAAAAAAAATAGAAATTGTGCGCTAAACTTTCACTATTTGCAGAAAAATGCCATATTCAAGTTCCCTGCAGAAGATGTGTCGGCTTATTTTCACTGAAAGACAAAACATCATTTGACCAGGGGTGTTCAAACTTTTGTATACAATTGTATATCAGTCTTAAAGTAACTAAAACATCCATTTTAACTGTAAAAGAAAGAAAGCGAGAGGTTGTAAAACGGTTGTAAAAAATGAACTGTTTTGGTACATAAACCTTGTTAGTGAATTTCAGGGAGAAAAAATAACAGGTAAATGTAGGATATGAGTTCTTCAACCTTTATGTTGTCCTTAGGTCCCAGTGAATCCAGCTGCACAGGAGAGTGTGCGCAAGGACTATGAGGCACTTCCTCCCTTTCAGAATTCAACAAGGAACTTTGAGGAGCCCTTTTTCGAGGACGCCGTCCATCGCCCCGCTCCCACCACCGATCTCAGTATGCATCTGGGACTTAAGTCCACCGGCAATTACGTGGACTTCTACTCCGCTGCCCGTCCCTATAGTGAACTCAACTATGAGACGAGTCATTACCCGGCCTCACCCGACTCCTGGGTGTAGGACTCGGTGACCCCCTGACGGATGGGGGGGGCACTTGCGGAAAGGCTGGAAAACTGTGCATGTGCATGAATACCACTAAACATTTCTTCAGCGAGTTTTTTTACTTGTCCAAAAAAAGCTGGTTCTGCAGGAGAGCGTGGGATTGAGGAAGTGACAGGCACAGTGGCAGGGAGGCAAAAGAAAAGAATGTTTAGAGCAGTGGTCACTAACGCTGCTCCTGGAGATCTACCTTCCTGTAAAACTCGGCTCCAGCCCAAATCTAACACATCTGACCTAACTAATTAAGAAGACTGATTGTCTGGATCAGATGTGTTCAATCAGGGTTGGACATGAAGTCTTCAGGAAGGTAGATCTCCAGGAGCAGGGTTATTACCACTGGCTTAGAGTGAGAAAGGTGAAAGAAAGAATCCAAAAAAGATGACAAGGGCAGTTGAAGGGGAAGGCAGAAGTTTGGCCTTTAGAACAGGGAGAAGCTTTACTGAAAGGGTTTTGCAAAGTCGTAGGTAGGAAACTAAAAAGTACAGTTGATAAGAGGAAGGATAAGTAAAGGAAAATGAGTTTGGAAAGAGATTTGGGAACAGCTTTCCACTTTTTGTTTCTGTTTTCTTCCATCACTTCATTGTGACTCATCTTGATTTTTGCCGAATGTCATTGCATATTAGATTTTTCCAGCCTTTTTATCTATTTTTTTTTCCTTTTCTTTTTGTACTTTTTTTATTTGTCAATGTAAAGTATTTGGTGTACATTACAGAGATACGAGTACATTGTGTACATTACACTGCTGCCACTCGGAGCCTCCAGTGGCTTCGGGTTTTGTTTTACGGTACTTAAAAAGACAAAATAGACCACTTTAGAGAGATGTAACAGCTATCAGTGTCCCATTTTCAGAACAGAATATGTTTCAAGAGCAAGGAGGACGTATCTAGCAGTATTGTTCGTTCCGATAATGTGAGTATGTTCGTGACATCTAAAGCAACGTTTTAAAAGCAGTTATGAGAACATCATTCCACACTACTTGTCGATAAAGTGCTTTCTCACTGCCTAAAAAAAAATAGATGTAGATATTTGAAATAGATTTCTTTGGGTTTGAATTAAACTAGATTTCCTTTTTCTTTCTTTCTCTCTTTTCTTTTTGGGGAACGGGGGAGGTAATATTAAACTGTTTTGTCATCCATAACTGCAGAAAACATGTTTGTTCCATGTGTATCTCGGTTCTCTGTGCTAACATGAAGAGATAACAGACATTGTGCCAAACTTAAACTAGCACTGGAGATGTTTTAACCTTGAGTTTAATGAGTTTTTACTACTAGTACTATCTGTAACTGCTTTCTTTTGTTCATAAATGTGTTCTATTTGATTTGATTTCTTTTCTGGAATTAAGCTACTAATCTAGGCAACACTGGAATACTACCAGGAGGGCAAAATCTTTGTGAGCTTAATTCCCTCCAAAGATGTACAAAATCTCTCTCTATGTTAGCTGAGTGCGTGCTGTATGTTGATTGATGTTTGAAACGAGAGGCGATGTTTGTTTCTAACAGGTGGCTTCTACTGTTTGACTTGGCAAAACACCGTAAAACTACTAGACTGAAATGTTCATAGAGAATGATGAATATATAAATATACATATAAATATAAATCTATATCATTTTTATGTGCAGATGTCGGTGTCACTAAAAGCAACAAACTTGCAAGAAAAGACTTGTATAAAAGGATTCTGTTCACCTAAATGTTCTGAGAAAATGTTACAAAACAAACAAACAAAAAAAAACACTGGCAATGTTGACCCCCGGTCTCAGTTGTGTTGTTACCGAGTTACATAGATAATCAGGCTGGATTTTGATGATGTTCTGGTGCCAGGACAATAAATTACTGTTTGCAATCTTTAGCGCTGTTTGACTATTACCATCACACGACATAACACCAGAGATGTGTCTGAATACAACTGTTAATGTTCAGATCCATCCTCTGGCTTTCTTTTCTATTTATTCTGTTGTACACTGTATCTCTGGCTTTGGCCAGCAGGGCTGTCAGACGGGATCAGATATCAAATTTGAATTTTCCCCTTCTCTGTTTGTCAATATTGGAATATAAACCTTTTTTTTCTAAAAACATCAATACATTATTTTGCAAAGACAATAAGCAGCATACATAATTGCCATAAACACCAAATGTGCTATTTACACTTATATACGTGACAGATGCTCTTAATCCAGAGCAAATTGCAATTTTAATCATGTTACAAAGGTAGGTGAATGTAGCGTTAGGGGTCTTGCCCAAGGATTTTTATGTGTGTAGTATGTTGTTCTTGCACGGGTGGTAAACGTTATGTAGCTTACATCCACCAGGGGGCACTCACCACAATGAAGCATCCCCAAAAGCACATGGCGTTTAATCAAGTGATTCTATCTCTAAAGGTCATGACTCGTGATATGGTTGTCAAATAAAGGTACACAGGTTTACTCTATATTTAAGAATTACTTATATTGCTGTATTATAAGCTAAGGACGATGCCTGTGCTGAAAACGTGGGCACTGTGCTATAAAGCTTCCCCATTTGCAGTGTCAGTGTGTCAGAACTTTTTGTTCACAATGAGTTGCTAAAAAGCTGTTGAATATTTGCAAATATACCTAAACCAAAACAATTCAAGCCAAAATAAATCACTGCTGTTTTGTTTATGGTCATGCGCTGTTTCAATGGGGTGGCCGATGTGGCCAGGGCTGGTTGGCCACCCGAGATGCCACCCCAGAATTTCTGGCAATTCACTGACTTGCACCTCGCTGTGGTGCAGGTGTTTGCACCTTTCAGAGGAGAGGCGAACTGGTGATCTGTGGAATAACTGTTCAAGCTCACTGCCACCTCTCTTGCTCGCACTTTTGTACTCCCACCCAGTCTAAACTCTGTGCCATTCCTTTGCCACCCCTGGTAAAATTTTCTAGAACTGCCACTGTTTATGGTCAACTATGATATGTTCTTTCCTACATTTTGTAGTTGTCATCTATAATGTTAGTAATTATTTAGTTTGAAACATACTAGGGCTTTAACCATGCATACAAGCTTTTTCTTAATTGGATGTAAATGTAAATTTTTGGCAGCCCTGTTGGCCAATGGACAGATGCAGATGTACATCACCTCTTAAGTTTGGGTTTGAGATTAAAATACATTGACCAAAACAAAAATGAATTTTATTAGCTCTAGCTAGAAGCCCTATATCGCTGCTGTCAGAACAAAACCTTGTATCTCCAAAATGATAAAGAAAAAAAAACGATTTACTTTTATCTTATTTTTTAAGCTTTTTGTCCAAATAATTTTGGGCCATTTGTTTTGGTCCATTCATCATCAAACTTACATACAATGTCAAGAGCAACAGGCATTTTAAATTATGTCAAAAACTGAAAAAATCAAAAATGGAGATACAAGGTTTTGGATATATGCGCTTTTGTTCATCCACACTAAGAGCATTTTCACGAAAAAAAAATTTAAAAACGCTCACATCAGCATGACGATCCAATAGGGGGCGAAAATACATCATAACTTTTGATGTTAAACACCTCAAGAAGAACACTTCAAATACTGCGCAAAATATAAGTGCAGAGATGATGGCAGAGGACTGATCTCACAAGTCCAATTTCTGACATATAATAAAAGCTTAAAAAGTAAAAAGTATCTACCGCTTTCTCCCATGAAGCTGTTTACATTACTATTACACTATTCTATCTGAAACGCCCACTGAAAGCTGTTTGCACAGTGCTAACTGGTTGAGTATAAGCTTTCATTACTTGGTAGCTACATTAGCCTTGATAGCTCCAGACACCAAACCTTTATTTGGTAATAAACTACAGTTAAAGTAAGGGGCAGCGGTCACTAGACTATCACATTAACTGTTCTACAAGTTAATTACATTGCAGGGATGTCTTTATCGACTGGTAGCCACAACCCTTTGTTCTTTAACCTCACTCTTACTTGTCCTGCTGTGTTCGCTGGCAGCAGCTCCACAGGTGTTCATACACCCCGCATCACCAATCACACAGAGTCTTCTGCTAAACGAAGGACCAGAGCCAGCGGAGGGCAGCCTCGCACCTCCTGTAATCCACAGCTCAGCAGAGAGCCCAGTGTCAGGGCATTAAATATTTTGTCTCCAGTAGACTCGGCATGATGTACGACAAGGTTTTTTCCATGCTGTTTGAGGCGGCTCACAATCCACACATGGCCAAGCAGGCACAAAGGAGAAACCTATTACTCAGAGTACTCGTAGCAAAGGATCTGGAGTTTTTATATCAGCACACAATGCATTTGCAGAAGACCGCACAGTTCTCCACAAATAATCCCAAGCGGCGAATTTTCCTCTCTCACCATGGCCTCCTGGGGAAGCGTTTTTTGGGGATTAAGTTTACAGGGCCCTTAAATTCTGCCCCTTTGAGAAGCTCTATCTGCTCATTTCCTGTCAGTCAGGATATTATTATTAGGCCTAGTTTTTCCCTTTCAGAACCGTGGCTCCTCCACCGCGCCTTTTCTAAAACAGGAAATGAAAGACCCGCACAGTGGAAGCAGAGATGCTATGATGCAATGTTGTATACAAACTCTGTGTAAACATTACCAGATTACTTATGACAAGTAATCCAGTACAGATTGCAAATTACATGATTAAATATGTTAAAAGTAAGAATCTTTCACTTTCAGGCTACTAATCTTACATTCTTCCCCTGAGTTGTTTCAAAGCAGCCAGTGGTCAAATACTGACCACTTCATTTTGCCTGTTTGAAGCTGTAACCTTTCTTTTTTCTCCCTAAACCATACACAACTACTCAGTCACAGAGCATTTTTACCACTTGCCTTTACATGGTTTTTATGTCCACATCGCATTAGAAGCAACTTTGGCCGGTTTCTAAAATGTGTCCCTAGTAGAGATGAAACGGTTACCGGTTTCATGGTAAACCACGGTAAAATTAATGACGGTTAGTAGTACCGTTTGAACTTTAAAGTATCGTTAAAACCACAGTCGATTACCGCGGTGTGAAAAACTCGCTGTACAGAGTCAAACAAAGGCAGAATCATCTCTCAGATGCAGCTCTGTGTGTGTGTGTGTGTGTGTGTGTGTAGAGGGGAGGGGGAGAGAGAGGGAGAGGGAAAGAAGGGAGAACATTGCGGAATGTAGTGACAGAGATTCGGAGATATTTCAGTCTTCTAAGAAGACCAAGTCTGACGTTTGGTCATATTTTGGGTTTTATAAGAATGCAGAAGGAAAGTTAATTGAATTGACCACCCTGTCTGCAGATGACCACCCTGTCTGCAGAACAGGCCGAAAGAAAATAGCGCGAAAGGGGGCAACACATCAAACCTTACGAGTCATCTTCCCGACCACCACCCACTACTTTATAGAGAACGCGAGGTTAACTTTAACGTAGAAGTCTGCGGGTACTTCGAAATAGAAGAAATGTCATGGTTTGTGTGGTTTTACTTATGCTTATGGTTCGTTAATATATAAAATGAAGCTTTTAGCGTCAAAAAAAACAACAAAGAAAAAACAATCGGTGAATCAGCTGTGAATCGAAACTAAAGCTTTTAACACATTTCTGTGGAGCAGAGTCTCCAAAATGAGCTCTGAGTTAACAGTCACACGAGCTCCGGAACGAGACGCTGCAGTTCAATATGCGCAGCTCCCCTTTCTCGTCTCGCTTGCAGTGTTTACTGTCTGAGAAGCGAACAACACCGTCTCAAATCACTCAATGTCCCCTACATAGTGCGCTATTTTTCAAACAAACACAATCATCATTAACAAGCAGCTTTAAATAGGGAATTAGTAATCTATTGTTAATGTTGATTATAGACGACTTAGTCG